CCAAGGCATATTAATGAAGTTGACAAATAATGTTCATTTATACAGTGAAGAAAACAACTGAAAATTGTATGCAACTTGAGAGTATAAATCCATTTAAGCAAAGTTTCTTTCTTTCAGATTTCAGTTATATCTTAACAATTCAGCTAGTATTTAATAAATACCAAAGGATGTGCTGAACACTAAGATGAGAAAGAGTAAAATACAGAAGGTCATACTCTAGAGAAAGAAACATGTAAACCAACCATAAATGTAGAGAGTGGTATTTCTCTTATGAGAGAAAGTCCAGGGATGGATGAACCTTATTAAATCCACTTTTTCTATATCTGAGCTGCTTACATGTCCTGCTCACTCAGAACCCACAACACTGGCTGCAGTAATCATATAGCACTGAAGCAATGATACAGTATATCCATGAGGATATTTCAAGTGGTTTTTAATTCAGAAATTGATGGAGATATCAAGAAGATTTGAGGCTGAACCCACATGATGAGCACCTATATAACACCTCACCTGTTAGATATCAACTTTAACTCCTCCATAAGAATGGGATGAGAATCTTGAACAAAGGACAGTCTCTTGATCAACTGCTTAATGGCTCTGATCTGTTTCAGCAATCACTACATAAGAAGGATAATAGCACATCTGTCGGGTGCCTTTTCTTGTACCAATTGCATTTAATACTCCCCCCCTTTTTATTCTGAGGACCCTTATATTCAGATAGAAAGCAGATAAAGACATCCTTTGCTATATATTTACTCAGAGTTCCCCTTAAGAGTATTCTCTACAAAAATATTTTAAGAAAACTTTGATTTTCCCCTAATATGTTCTGCAAGTGCTAAGTTTTTACCTATTATCCTGTAAGGCTTATTTGATTATTTACTTGTCTACTTTGCTTAATACCTAATTGTCTAGAAGAAGACTCTGCCAACACTGGATGTATTTACTAGCTTGCTAGTGTTTCCATAGAGGTACCACAGACTGGGTGATTCGAACAACAAATATTTATTTCTCACTGATCCAGAGGCCAAGGTCAAGTCCAAGGTCAAGTTGTCAGCAGGTTTGGTTCCTCCCACGGGCTCTCTCTTTAGAGTGTAGATGGCCATCTTCTCACATCAGTGTCCCCACACCATCTTTCCTTTATGCACACACATCCCTCTTGACTCTCTGTGTGTCCAAATGTCCTCTTCTTGTAAGGATACCATTCAGATTTGATTAGGGCCCACCCTAACAGCCTTGTCTTAATTTAATTGCCTTTGTAAAGGCCCTCCCTCCAAATACAGCTGTGTCCTGAAGCACTGGTTATTAGAGCTTCAACTGTGTTTAGAGAGACATAGTTCAGCCTATAACACTGGATATATTCACTTTCAAAATCCTCTTCACTTTACCTCTTTCACTTTTCAAAGTCTTATTGACTTTCAAATGTAATTTTTAACAGAGGTCATAGATGTGCAGACTTTAGACACAGTTGCTATGACTTCTGAAAGTAACCTTTAACCTCAAAAAGTTTCTAATTTTCTATTGCTTTCTTGTTCATAATTGTTGCCCCAGTGTTTATGTTTACATTCAAAAGGACAACTCTGTTTTCTAAAATGTAGAGATATGTCTGACTTTTATTTATTAAGCCTAAAGATCAACATTATATTTTCCTTTCCTTTCACAAGATGCACTCAAAGAAGATGAGAAATGTAGGAAGACTCACTCTAGTGGTTATCAAAATTTATTACAAACTAGAGTAACCAAGATCACTTTACTACATTGCACTGACAAAAGGATAGATTTATGCAAGAAATGACCAAAATAAGGAGTCCAGAAAATACCCATAATACATAGGACACTTAAATTACAATACAACTGGTACTGCATACTACGTAGTGTTATTAATCAATTAAATAACACTGAAAAATACAATTTTACCCCTATTTCACACTACACACAAAAATCAAGTCCAGGTATAGTGTACACATTTACATTTAGTAAAAAGGAAAATAGTTAAGCTTCTCAAAGATACAATAGTACAGTGATTTGCAAAGTCAAATCCTCAGACTAACAGAATCAGCATCATCTGGAAATTGTAAAAAAATTAATTCTTAGGACTTTTCCCTGATCTAAAGAATTAAAAACTCTGGAGGTAGGTCCCAGTGAGTGACAAGTGATTTAAAAAGCCTTCCAGATAATGCTCATATCCACTCGAGTTTGAACACCATAGATTAAGGAAAATATCTCATAATCTTGGGGTAAGGGTAAGTAATTTATAAGAGTAGAATAAAATAGCCATAAGAAAAAATATCAATGAATTGTATCCCATTAGCAAGAAATTCTTTTAATCAAAATTCAACTTTAAGAGAGTGAAAAGTAAACCAAGAAATAGAAAATATTCCCAATGCATATCCAACAAAGGAGTAGTACGCAAGAAATTATAAATAAGAAAAGACTGAATCTCCTCCCTATCACTACACATTCTCCCATGCACACACACACACACACACACACACACACACACAGCTAAAACCTTAAACTGGCTCTTCACAAAACAGTGTAAATAAATGGCTCAAAGGCATGTGAAAATATGTCAAGTACCATTAGCCATCATGGAAACATGAACCAAAAAATTTGGATTCACTATACCCCCATTAGAGGGGTTAAAATGTAAAGGGTAAATACATCAAATATGAGTGACATTGTTGAGAAGATGAAAGGTAGATTGGTATAACCACTGAAAACTTGTTTGCCACTTATCTATTAAATGTGAAAAATACATATAAACTGTGCTCAGCAATTTCATTTGTATGTCTATTTCCAAGAGAAATGGCTGTTTATGTTTGCAAAAAGATATGTATACAAGTGTTCAAAGCAACATTATTCAACATAACTAAAATCTGGAAACAATGAAAATGTCCATCCACAGTAGAACAACTAAATGGTGGTACAGTCACACAATGGAATACTACACAGCAGTGGAAAATAAAGAATTACTGCTATATGTTACAACATGAATAAATCTCACAAAAATAATGTCGACTGAAAGAAGGCAGACACAAAATAGGTCTTAAAATATGACCGTAGTAACATGAAATTCAAAAACAAATCTAAACTCTGGTCATAATAGTTAGAATATTTGTTGTCTTTAAAAAGATATTGAATAAAAAATGGATGTTGACTGGGAAGTAGAAGCATGAGGGAGAAAAATTCTAGGGACTGAAAATATTCTATACCAGCATACTTAGATTCCCTCCAGAAAGCAGACCTAAATCTGGAGAGGAGAGACCATCAAAGTAAACTATATTGAAATGAGAAACATTGTATAAAACATACTAGCTATAATGCTAAGGTGAAGATGTGGAAAATGTGAGAAAGGAATGAGACTTGTGGATTCATGAGATGATGACCAATTTTGGTTTGTTTTTATTTGGCTGAGTCAGGCCCTAGTTCTGGCACGCAGAATCTTTTCATTGCAGCACCCAGTCTCTCTAGTTGTGGTGCATGGACTTAGTTGCTCCATGGCAGCTCAGTTCCCTGACCAGGGATGGGACACATGAAACCCATGTTCTCTGCATTGCAAAGCATATCCTCAAAAATCCATAAGAATGTATTCTATGTAATCTCTTGCCTTGATCTCACTTCAATCTCAGGATCAACGTTCTTGCTCTCTTTTCTTGATCATCTTCTTTTCTCTTCAGGGACACACTAGCACGGCTACCTCTCAGATGTCACCCATATCAGTGCTTCTCAAATTTTAATGCATTTATAAACCCTGCTGATTTTGCTGAAATACAAATTGTGTTTCAGGAAGTCTCAGCTGAGGTCCAAGATTCTATATGTCTAACAAGGTGATAACTCTGTTCCTTATCACTGAAACATTTTAAATAATATGAGTCTACATTCTGCCTTCTGCTTTTTATTTAGAATACTTATAAATCGATTTGTTCAATCGCTGTCATGTCCAATTCTTTGCAACCCCACGGACTGCAGCACACCCAAGCTTCCCTGTCCTTCCCTGTCTCACTGTTGCTCAAACTCATGTTCATTCACTCAGTGATGCCATCCATCCATTTCATCCTCTGTCATCCCCTTCTCCTCCTGCCCTCAGTCTTTCCCAGGATCAAGGTCTTTTCCAAGGAGTACACCGTTCACATCAGGTGGCCAAAGTATTGTCGCTTCAGCTTCAGCATCAGTCCTTCCAGTGAACATTCAGGATGGATTTCCTTTAGGATTGACTGATTTGATATCTTTGCTGTACAATGGACTCTCAATATAAAGAAATATTTTCACTCAAATTAATCTCTAGAGTTAAAAAATAAGAATGGTCAAGTATAAAAACTGTGTTTCTCTTCAAAGGCTCAGAGAAATCACTAAAAACTAAAATCACTAAGTGCAGTCTCTTGGCCAAGTGAAAAGACTTTTAACCAGAAGAGCATCAGATGTCTCAACTACTACAAAGACGACAGGAAGGAATAAATTTTTTTAAAGATCATAAATTCAGAATAAATTCAACCTAGATTTTTACTTATAGCGTACTTACAGCATACATGCAGATAAGACATTTTGCCATAGACACAAATAGTAAAAAGATATGGACTTTGTTCTCAAGAAGTTTATAAAATAGAAGGGAAAGGGGAAATAAATAGCTACAACAAAGGGTCTAAAGTGAGGAGGATTTTAAAAAGTTCAGTTAAATTATAATGGCAGATCAGACGAGGCAGAGACAGCTCCCACTTGTGGATCAGGGAAGACCGTCTGGAGGAAGTAACATCTGAAATAAGCCTGATGATGCACTCACATTTGAATACGTGAAGGATCCTAGGACCTTATTCCATCCAGAATTTAAAACCCCCAATACAGGTTAGAATGACAAATTCTGCAAAAATATCATTTAGCTTAATTGACAACTGATCATTAAGCAAAAAAACACAACAACTAAAAACTCTCTGTAAGGAGAGTGGAAAGGCCATCATCACCTAAGTCTGTTTAGATGTGTCCTGAGTTCCTGGGCAGCCGGGATCTCATTCCAAAGGGAGACTAGAACTTGGGGATCCACGGTGTGTCCTAATGAGAACAGAGATGGAAATTACTTCACATGGAGTGGAGGTAAGAAATGACAGCTAAGAAGGAAGAGGGCTGGGAAGAGGAAAACTGATGAGAGAAAGAAGAAAAGGATGGACAAACAAGTGGGCACTTGAAAAAGGGCAGGAAGGATGCACACGAAGAACTCACCAGTGCTTCCTAAGCCAAAATGCAGGACCTGCCATGAGGACCAGGGTCACAATCACTGCCAAGGCGATCCAGCCCACGGAGCTGTGATGATCTGTGGATGGGACACACACAGGTGTCCTCACAAACCCACCCACTGTTTTGCTGCATTCTGTGCTCTTCCTTTGTTATTGGAGTGTCACCTCACCATCTCCTTCTTCCCTATTTCTTCTCTCATCCCTCCTTCATCTAACCTCAAGATTTCCCTATGTCTCTAGGGTTCTCATTTTCAACTCCCATATTTTTTATTTTATTTTTATTCCTTTTGGGTCTGGAGTCCCTAGAATCCCCAAGTTTTTCATCTAGCTCTTCTGCTCTGCTAGAGAACAACCTATTCCATTTCCAGCGGGGCCCCAGTTCTTCCTCACCCCAGTGGAGGACGATGTCCTGGCCTCCTAGACTGCTGTGTCTCACCCGGCAGCTCAGGCCAGATGCCTCACTGGCTTCCACATTCAAGGAAACCTGAAGACACCACGTCCCATCAGCGTTAGGTAAGACGTCACTTCTCTGAGTGCTCCGTTGCTCCTGCTCACCCCGCATCCATATCACCCAAATGGGCTTTGGGTAGAAGCCAGAGGCGTGACAAACCAGCATCAGACGGCCAGGGCCAGGGCTGGGGCCAGGGGACAGCCAGGCCTCTGGTCGTACTGCAGAGGACAGGGAAGGTCATCACATGAGGACTCTAAGGCAGACCCAGAAGTTCAGATTTTCACATCAATTTAGATTGACACACTTTCCCACATTGACCCTGGTCTGATTCCTGGATCAGGAAGATCCTCTAGAGAAGAGATAGGCTACCCACTCCAGGATTCTTGGGCTTCCCTTGTGGCTCAGCTGGCAAAGAATCCATCTGCAATGCAGGAGACATGGGTTTGATCCCTGGGTTGGAAAAACTCCTGGAGTAGGGGAAAGGCTACCCACTCCAGTATTCTGGCCTGGGGAATTCCATGGACTGTAATAGACCATAGGGTTGCAAAGAATCAAATACAACTGAGCAACTTTCACTTTCCCATATCTATTATGGTCACCCATTATCCCCTCCCCCTCTTAGTTCCTTGTTAGGAAATGAAAACGTGTGACTTTAGAACAAAATATTAATGGAGAAGGGTGTGGGACTAACCTTGTCTCTGGAGATATGCCTTCCCAGCATCAAGAAGACCCAAAAGGAAACGTGGGCAGGTATCACTGAGCAGCTTGTATATTATTTCATTGGTTCCTCCAAACAAACTGAATAGTCTTCTGAGGCCCTGAGCCATCATTCCACCCTCTGGAGAGGACATCCATGACTTGTTCTGAAAGCTCAAGAAGTCTGATCCTTGATAAGCAATCCGCACAAATCCTACTGGGGCTTTCCCAGCATGCAACTCACAGGCGTTTGCTGTCTGTACCTCAAAGGGATCTGACAAAGAAAATTAGAGAAAAGAGGGCATAAAAAAGATAAAATCAATCAAAGGATGATGGAAACAGAAGGGAGAATTTCAGATGATTTGATGAAATGAAGCAAGATTGGTTTCATCAGATATCCAGAGAAAGGGGAATTATTGGCAGTTGGGATTATAAGAAGAGATGAATGACATAAGGAGAGGGTAAAATATTTAAAGAAGGCAGTGTAAGTTATGTGAGCAAGAGAATAAGGAAGGACTTAATGTGCGAAAGTGGGGGTTAAAATAACCCAGGATGGATGAAATGAAATAGATAACACTGAATATATAGACATAGATGCCTAGTTGGAAACTGCGGAAAGGGGCTGTTGCAAGTGACCAATGACGTGAGATAATAAAGCACAAGCCTGCAGTCAATGAGAGAGGAGTCTGTAAATAGCAGAAGTCTTGAACCTTCTGAGAAATCAGGGTCTAGATTATACCCTCTGCCCAAAAGGATACAATTGCAATTCTATGGTGTAGAGAGTTAAGTTTCAGAATTGATTGGAGGCTGTTTCTTAGAGAAATAAACTCATTAAAACCCACACACCCGCTACCATATCCCCAATCCCTGTTAAGGAAAATGAACTTACATTCAAATTGCCATTTCTTGGCATGTTTGTAAAATGCCTGAACAAATCTAATGAGGAGCTCGTGAAAAAAATTTTGCAGTTCCATCAACTCCTCATTGCTGAAGTTGCCCTTGGACCAAGGCCACAGGTAAATAAAAGTCCCAGACTTGCTCTTCCAGCCATGAGTCTGCAACTCACCCAACCAGCCTGAGCCCAGACTTTGCACCCAAGAACTGTTGTGAAAGGATAAGACACAGATGACTTGGAAGGAGACGGGCTCCTGAAAGCCTGTGGGAAAAGAACAAAGACAATGAGGAGGGGCACTGGGAAGGAGAAAGATTGGAGGATGAAAGGTACCAAAGAAAGGAAACTCAGAATCCAGATGAAAGGCAAGATATCTCAGCAGACACACGCCTGCCCCAGGGCCCTGTGTGGTATATATGCATATAATCTTCAAAAGAGCACAGGGGTCTGGAGTCAGGGATACTCAGACTGAAACTAGGCTGATACTCTCAATCTTCTGGTTTGGGAAACCACCCCATAAACACAGGCATGCACGCACACACACACACACATACACACACACACACACACACACACACATTCACACACACATATACCTACCTTCTGGAATAGAGTTCTTATTCTCTTCATTGTCTCCACTCACGAGGAGAGCCAGGAGCAACGGAAGTTGCAGAAACAGCATCTCATTTGCAAATTTTTTTTTCTCTCAGAAAAGCTGGTCTTTGATTTCTGTTCTAAGCAAACCTACCACACAACACCTCTACTCTGACTTCCTTCTCCTACCAATGAACCTTCCCTTTATTCACTGTCTGAAAAAAAAATAAAAAGCAACAACAATCTGCTCCTTCCCTAATCCCCAGACTGCCTACCCAAGTGCCCATTTCTCTTCCGGTTCTGACTCTCTTCTCTGGCTTCCAAGTTCTCTCCTTGTCACCAGCTTCCATCCTGTTCCTCTTCCCCAATCTAACTGTTATGGACCAAGTCTTTTGTGGTATTGAAAAGTCAATGTACCAGTAAGGACTTTCTCAACCAAGAAATAAAAGCATGAAACTAAATGTCTTCCCAGCAACCTACTTAATGTTCTCATGCCACTGCTCTTTTCTGTTACTCTGTCTTCCTCTTGTTTGTTTGTTTTTTTTAATATTTCTTCAAATATTCTCTCCCCCTTTCTCACTCCCACCCACCTCATTCACACCTCTGAGTTCTCACTCATTGCTTTATTAGCTTTTCCAGGATCCCCTATGATTTCCCTGAGAAACAGTATAAACTGACACATATTCTTCATTATTCATAGGGAGCAGCCAGTAGCCATCACAGAGACCACAGGAGCATTGCAAAATAAAGAACAGCCTCCTCTGTTTGACTTGCATTGATATATATTCACTCATCAAAGAGTCATGTAGCACCTGCCTGAGAACAAGCATTTGTTATACTTGTGAATCATGTTACACACAATGCAATAACCTTTTTCTAAGATGTTTTAGATTCCTTGGGGGATAAAACACTGAAACAAGAATTGTAAATCTTGCTGTGCTGAGACTTATTATAATGTATAAACTCTAGATCAAAAAATAAAAGCATTCTTGAAACAACATTTTCCAAAATGGTGACCCTTAACTGTTTTGTTTACCCAACAGGATCTTGACTTCAGAGATTGTCCTGAGGTGTTACATCTATAGGCTGTGTGGGGAAAAAAAAGTTTTAACTGAGTAAATTTGAAGATCTAGCTCTAGTCAATGATTCATGAATTGGACAACATCCCATCTAGCAACTACAAAGGCACTCAGAGAAACAGCATAAAATGGAAGGTTTTTATAAAAGGGGCAGGTCAGGTGAGCTATTTATCAAAAGAAAGGAAAAGATTATTTTAGACCGGGACATCTTCTTTTTTCAGGGGAAGGGAATAGCAAGAATTTTATCATGTAGATTGCCTCTTCTTCCTCTAGAGGATGGAGAGGGTCTCACAGGCAGATTATCTCATTGGTGCTGATCAGAAAATTCCAAAATAGTTGATTAAGATTACATTTCTGGTGAAGGTTGGAAATGCATTTAAGTCAGATATTGAATCTAGATTTGGCATCACGCACTTTAACCAAGTGACTCCACTATGGGCCTCTGGTTTTCTCTTCAACAACCCCTACTGTACTGGATCCCCATCATCTAACAGAGTGCCTGGCAAGTGGTAGGTGCTCAGTGAATACTTTTGAGTGTTGGCATAATTTGATACAGGCATCAAATGATATTGTACGTTATAGTGATCTTCAACATAAAATTATTCAAGACATCAGAAAACATTACTTACCCCTACTTGATGAAGTGAAAAACTTTAGAGTTTTACTTCAGATTAAAGTATATATTAATAAGCATAAAGTTTACACAAAGGGTCCTGCTGTAGATCTCTTATTAATGATATAAAAAAATAATAAACAGAAACGTCAATTAAATAGAGTTGGGAGACCCAAAGTGGGGACTCTCAAGCTTTCACATGGGTCACCATGAGTGCAGATGCCAAATTGCAATTCTCTGCTCGTCCTGAATAAACCCATCTTGTTTGGCAATATATCTTGTCATCTACTTGTTTTAGGTCAACACGTAATAAGAAGCCACTGAGAATATATAGGAAGTAAAGTTAGTAGAATATAGTGAAGTCATTGATCCAAGATTCTTTTCTTACTGGTCGTCCCTGAATGCTTCATGCTTGCTTTATCATATGCTGCTCTCTGCTGGAAATGCTGATCTCCCTCATTCATGGTGTTAGTAACTGTCTAAAGTCTCTTAAATATTTGTTTATGCTACTTATCACCTGGATAGATGTATTTAGGCTCTTTATTTAGTTATTTCTTGGTATATAGGCAAACAAAAATTATTTCAGGCTAATTCAAGGAAGAAATTTTTTTTTGAAAATTTAGATTAAAAAATAAAAGCTAGAAAGAGTTTCACTTAAGCAAAACCACAACTTATCTTGAAATGATCACAGCACAGAAGTATCAGGGCCACCAATTAACCCAAAACTTAAGGAAAGACAGATTCCTGCAAGG